TCTTTATATCTTTAATATGCACTTAACCTGCTACAAATTATATGCAGCGTTTAAGCCCAGATTCGTATCATGAAAGCCAAACTATATCCGTCTCTATATTTGTTCGGAATCGTTATAAAGTAAAATATTCTACGAAAAGGCACTGAATATAATTTTTTCGTCGCCTATTAAGGAGTTATTGCTAAGAACTTTCAATAGATCTTAGTCATCAAGTTTGCATGGCTTGTTATGATGCACTTTAAAAATGAAATTTGAACTAACACGATACGAACCTATGTATTGAAGAAAAACAAGAGGAGACGCCAGAAGATGGCTCTTTCCCTCTAGAATCTGTCTGCATGCTATTATTTGATGACTGGCAGAAATATTTCAATTTGTTCTTTGGGGTCGGCTTGGTGTTGATAAGACAGGGCGAAGCAGACTTAGAGGATGAAGGAGAGCCGGTGGCAGCCGCAGACGAAATGAGCTGAGCTATATTTAAAGTTTGGTCAGGACGGTCTGTGGGTAAACAGAAGCTACTATGTAAGCCGAGAGGAGATGCAGAATCACGCATTGGTGCAGGTTTGGTCGTCGGGTTTGAAGCAAACAATAAATCGAATCGATCAGTTCGGCCAAGTCGATGAATTGGCTGCGGTCGGTCGAGGGGAGTTCCAAGCAAAGGTACAATGTTTGGATGTCCTATAGCAGGACGCAATAGGCACTCACGCTCAATCTGGCGCTTTACTTGGCACCAATCAGGTGAAAGGAGCGAAAACACACCAGGAGTAATCTTTGAGAGGACGTTTGTGCCGATGACGTTGATACCAGAAGTCCCGCGGCCAACACCAAATGCATTGGTAGCATTATCAGCAGGAATAGAGATATGGCCACCACGAGCAGCAAGGCCGAAAGAGGAGGCGGGTGTGGGCGTAAGGGAGCTCGAGTTGGAATTGTGACGAAGAGGAAACGGACAGGAGAGTGAAGCAGCCGTGGGGCTAGCGGCATACGAATGTAATAAAAAACCAGTCACGGGCAGTGGAGATGAAGAAGTGAGTTCACCGGAACAGGGATCACCTCTGGAAACACGCAAAGGTCGGCATGAATAAGGAAACTTTTCGCTAGCTTCAGTAGAGGAAAAAGCGTAATAGTTTGACAGAATACGTATAGCCAAATCCATAAATGCACCTTCATTTGAAAAGAGAAGGAAACAATATATTAACCTGTCAACAAGTAATTTCTCTCAAACAGGAAAAGATAACCAGCAGAATAAAATAATAAAATATGCGTAAGTAAAACTGATATTAAGATTAAATTTGTAGAAATAGAAATCTCAAAAGAACTAGTGACAGAGAAAAAAATATGTTGCAGCAACTGTAAATAGTAATGGCTATATATAAAGGAACATTTAAAGATAAACTTAAATTCCATTTACAAGATCTGATGAGTAGTAGAAATATTCAACACAAGGTAAATACTAAAGGGTTGGGTAATCTATGAATGCTGCGTTTAACCAAATAAATGATTAATAGAAGCCCCAGAAGACTAATAAAATCATATACATTACCAAGGTATTTTAAGGATGATGCAAAGAACAATTTTAAATAAGAAATATAAAAAATATGATAAATATAAGTAGGGCACCTAGCATAACATCTAGCAAAGCTTAGAGAGTTAAGAAACTACTTTTCAGAATAATATAGCAGTTATTTCAGGAAAATTATTAATTTCCAAAGGAAATTGGAGAAAATAAAAATGATATGGAACTGGTTTATGCAAGAGAATAAAATGTTTAATTAAAATATGAGGTAAAAATAGCAAATTTACACTAAATTTTACCTTCGTTATCTTCCGTAGATTTTTTATCCCTTGAAGAGTCAGGAATCCGAGGTGCTGCATAATCT